AGCCTTGGAAACCTTGTGGGGCACTTCTCCTCTGTCCAATATGGTCGCTATGAGTTGGAATTGACTGGATGGCAATGGTTTTTTTTTTTTTAGCTAACAGAATAGTTAGCTGTTCAAACCCACCCAGTGGCACTTTGGAAGAAAGGCCCAGCAATCTGCTTCCGAAAGATCATGGCTTTGAAGATGCAATGGGGCACACTTCTACTTTGCAACACATGGGGTCGCCATTCGTTAGAATGGACCCAACAGCAACTGGTTCTGTTTTTGTTTTTTAATCTAACAGAAGTAGATTGTCAGGCCTTTCTTCCGTGGCACCGCTGGGTAGATTCTAACCACCAATCTTTCGGTTAGTAGTAGAATACAATCCCCTTGCACCACCTGGTCACCATGAGTCAAAATACAGCAGTGGGTTTTGTTTCCTATTCCCCTTTAGCACTGTGCAGGTTGCAGGAGATGACATGCTTAAACCTTTTGGCTTCCCATTGCCTGCAGCATAAATCCACATTGAAGAACAAGGTGCACTAGGTCCTCCTTGCCTGGGTCTTTGTTATTTAAGCCCCATCTTTTGCCACTCCTGCCGACTTGGCTCTCGAGTTACTCTCATCTTCATGAATGTCCCCGTTACCCCACACCCATTTTCATTTCTGTGCTTTGCTCACCCTGTCCCTTTGGCCTGTTTTCTCTAGAGCAGTGGTGGTTTGCTGGTAGAATTCTCGCTTTCCATGTGGGAGACCCAGATTCTATTCCCAGCCAGTGCACCTCAAGCACAGCCACCACCCTTCTGTCAGTGGAGGCTTGTGAGTTGTTGGGATGCCAAACAGGCTTCAGCAGAGCTTCCAGACTGAGTCCGACTGAAGAGAAAGGACAGGCAGTCTCCTTCTGAAAATCAGCCAATGGAAACCTTGTGGATCGCAGAGGTCCAGTCTGCAGCCCTTTGTGGGATGGTGCAGGACCGGGCAGTGTTTCATTCTGTTGTGCATGGGGTTGCCACGAGTCGGGGGCCAACTCCAGGACAGCTAACAACCACTCTTTGTCACCACAGGTAATACCTCCAGGAAGCCGGCCCTGCCCTCGCAGGCGGCGTGGCTCAGGGCCTCCTCTAGTGTTCTGTAATACCCTGTGTATTTCTTCATCTCTGTCCTTAGCACAGAGTGGCACAGTGGTTAAGTGTTGGGCTGCCAACCAAAAGGTTGGCTGTGCAGACCCATCAGCTGCTCTGCAGAAGAAACACGGGGCAGTCTGCTTCCCTAAAGATGACAGCCTTGGTAACGCTGTGAGGCCGTTCTGCTCTGTCTTAGGGTCACTGTGAGTCGGAATTGACTCGATGGCAATGAGTGTGGACTTTTTTGTTTTGTTTTTATCCTTCGCCGGTGCTTTATGACGCTGTTTGATAGAGATCTGTTCTCCTCACTAGACGACGGGTTCTTTGAGGGAGGGGCCTATACCTTATTCATCCTTGTACCTCCAGCATTTGGCATAACAGCTGGTACATATTTTTGGCGCCACCAGCATTTCTTGAACAAATGAATAAAACCATTGCCGTCAAGTCGATTCCAACTCATAGCGACCCTGTGAATGAATAATCAGGTATTTTGTAAGATTAAAAAATGCAAAGTTAGAGAGGGTTATGACATAGAACTGTACATAGGATTTTCCCATTATAAAAGGCTTAAGATTGATAGTGTAACTTTACATATACAAATCATTTTTTGTGAAAGAAGATCCTCTATTTGGTAGCATTTAATTAGGGAAGAGTTGGTTTTAAACTCTGAGATAAAAGGGAAGCTGTTAGCTTTTTCCTTAGCTTAGACTACTTATTCTGAGACTTAAGACTTTGTGCTTAATACAGTTATTTGGAAATCCTTAAAGAGGGTCTTCTCAGATAAAGTGCATCCTGCTGTATTGCTGATTTGTGGTGCTGGGTACATCGCATCTGGTGGGTTTCAGCAGAGATACTCTGCTAATCACTAAAACGATAATGACTTCCTAGAGAAGATAAGGAACAAGGTGGGAGAGAGACCCACAGTCTTCAGAAACCGTTCTGTAGAAATGGGCTCTGTCTTAGTCATCTAGTGCTGCTATAACAGAAATACCACAAGCGGATGGCTTTAACAAAGAGAAGTTTATTTTCTCACAGTCCAGTAGGCTACAAGTCCAAGTTCAGGGCGTCAGCTCTAGAGGAACATTTTCTCTGTTGGCTCTGGAGGAAGATCTGTGTCATCAATCTTCCCTTGGTCTGGGAGCTTCTCTGTGAAGAAACCTCAGGTCCAAAGGACACACTCTGCTCCTGGCATTGCTTTCTTGGTGGTATGAGGTCCCCTTGTGTCTCTGTTTGCTTCTCTCTCTTTCATATCTCAAAAGAGATTGGCTTAAGACACTATCCAATCTTTTAGACCTCATCAGTATAACTGTTGCTAATCCATCTTACTAGATCATAGTGATTGAATTTGCAACACAGAAGGAAATCACATCAGATTACAAAATGGTAGACAATTACACAATACTTGGGAATCATGACCCAGCCAAGCTGACAGATATTTTTGGGGGACGCAGTTCAATCCATGAGAGGCTCCATACACTGAGACCAGTGCCACCTCACAGTTCCACCCCCTGAGCTGGTCACGGCCTCTGTACTCTTTCCGGAGTGCCTGGGTAGTGAAAGTGGTTAACACACTTGACTGCTAACCAAAAGGTTTGATGTTCAGATCCACCCAGAGGCACCTTGGAAGAAAGGCCTGGCGATCTACTTCCAAAAACTCAGCCATTGAAAACTCTGTGGAGCACAGTTCTACTCTGACACACAGAGGGGTCGCTATGAGCTGGAATCGACTCCACAGCAACTGATGAATGGTCTTTCTGCTTACAGTCAGTGCCAGTGAGAAGGGCATTTCTCACGAGATGTCCTCCCACAGTGAGCATACATGGGAACCTACTTGTTCTCAAAGTTTATTCACTTAAATTTTTTTGCTGTCCTGTTACTGTTGTTGTTAGGTGCCGTCAAGTCGATTTCGACTCATAGCGACTCTATGGGACAAGGTAGACCTGCCCCCATAGGGTTTCCAAGGAGCGGCTGGTGGATTTGAACTGCCAACCTTTTGGTTAGCCCCTGAGTTGTTAACCACTGCACCACCAGGGCTCCTGGTCCTGTGAAATCAGAGGCTATGGAAACTCATACCAGGTACATGAGCATCATAATCATGACCTTGGAAAAAAAGTTCACCCCTGTAACTGGCTTGCAAACGTAAAAATAGTGTTATATAGAGATTATTGGCAAAGACTGTGGTCCTTTCCTTTCCTAACAGGGTTGGTGCTTGTCTGAACCCACTGGGAACTACCTCTGCCTTTTGATTTAGATTTGGAGCTCATTTTATCTAAGTTAGATGGCTATGTGGGAAAGCTCATGTGAATTCTCTTCTGTCATTAATGTTCCTGGGCTTCAGTTTTTCCATCCATAAAATGAGGTAGTTGTCATAGATAATCTCGGGGTGGCTTCCAGCTTTTAAATTCTACGATTTATAGTCTATCTTCTTTTATTCTTATTTCAAATTCTCAAATCATTACTCTTATATTTGTGTCAACAGAATAGGCAAGAAGCCTCTGGCTTCCACAGCTAAATGGCAGCCTTTACTGGAAAAAATATGTATGTTGGAAGGATAGCTTTCTATTGTGATAAAATAAACAATCATCATTTTCAAGGCCAATAACTGAGAAATTATAGGAAAGTATTAAATCTTTGGCAAGTATAGCTTCTGCAACCCGAGATAGCATCAGTACAAAGGATATTTATACGTTGGTTTCAGAATAATTCAAATGCTCAAGAGCCTCATCTTGTGATATTATCACAAGAATGTCCAGACAGTGTTTTCTTTAACTCCAGGAAGAGCGATTTAGGAGGATGGATCCCGCCACATGTGTCCAGCTGCACATTTAATACTCTTGGAAAAAAATTGTTCTATAAACATAGAAATAACCCAGTATGAATGCTTGAAGGAGGTTCATTTCTTTGCTTATAGTTGTCAGGACCTTGTATACACAAGAGTACAAAATTAATAAACACTATCAAATATGCGGTTAGCATAACTCAAACAGCAGTATTTTATTTGTATCATGTGGTATAATTCTAGTTCACTCAATAAATGGTCTTAAAACAACATGAAAAAAAACCATACCTGTTGCTATTGAGTCAGTTCTGACTCATGGCGACCCCATGTGTTACAGGGTAGAACTGCTCCATAGGATTTTCTTGGCTGTAATCTTTACAGAAGCAGATAGCCAGGCCTTTCTTCCATGGAGCTACTGGGTGGGTTTGAACCGCCAACCTTTAGGTTAAACCAAAAAAACAAACTGGTTGCCGTGAAGTCAATTCCGACTCATAGCGACCCTATAGGACAGAGTAGAACTGCCCCATAGAGTTTCTCAGGAGGAGCTGGTGGATTCGAACTGCCAACCTTTTAGTTAGCTGCTGAGCTCTTAACCACTGCACCACCAGGGCTCCACCTTTAGGTTAGGGAACTTAAATGTTCTAACATGACTGAAAATTGAACAAAGTTTAATTACAGTTTGTGAAACATTGCTCAGCTGCATAGCAAATCCATTTACGTGTTTCACAATGTATAAAACTTCACTTTCAGTAAATTAAATATTGCCACATAAGAAAATAAGCTGTTTTTAATGCCCGGGAGGTATTTCTCCACATCTCGTATTCCCATCATAAACTTTCCCTCTGGAGTAATTACAACGTTTTTGTATAGGAATGATCATATGAGGATGAGGAGAGGTGGAAAGCATCCTCGTCCCCCCCTGCTCCCCGCCCTGTCCCTTTCTGTTCGTGCATGCTGTAGACTCAGCCTGGAAGAATGCAGCAGGACTGGGATGCCTCCACGGCACAGAAAGGCATACTGGTTCCTCTTGGAAAAGCACTGGGTATTGCCTGGAGATGCCATTAACTGAAGTCATTTCGTTTCCAACTGTGATCATCTGAGTTCTTGGGAAGCCAGCCTTTCCCTTTATCCTGCTCTCTGGATACCTGGCCTGCCGAAGAATGATCGTATAACCTGGGAAAAGTGACCTTCCCTGAGGGACATTTGGCAGTTTTTTTCGTGCAGGGGCAGATTATACTTGCCAATGCAATCTCAAGGTCAGGGGTAATGCTATTGGTATCTAATCTCAAATTTACCAACTCGGATATCCCTCCCTTTTGCTGATATGGTTTCTGACTCTTCAAATTGATGAATCATAAAGGGACACTCATGGAAAATCTTTTTATAGAAATGGGAATATTGTTTCTGGTCCCTGCTTTTCTATTTTGGGGGCCTGGAGAAAGGAAAGATTTAAGGTGCTGTCACACTTCTAAAGCACACGGAGGCCAACAGGATAACAACTCTGACTTGAAACTTGTACTCGGATCCAAAACTGAGACAGCTTTATTTGACACTGTCAGCAGTCACTGGGACTTTTAAAGAAGTGGAGCACATTAAAACACAAAACTGCCCCAACTAATAAAAGAAAAGTATCATTGAAAATTACGACTATGTAAAGGGTGAGTTTGAATTATTCCTCCACAGGAAATAGCTCTCCCTTGGCTGCAGATGACACTAACAGACGGCAGTACAGTTAAGGCCTTTGTACGCGCGGTATTCGCAGTGCGCTCGCTGGGTATTCGCAGCGTGCTCACTGGGATCTGTGTTTTTCCTTCCTTTTGATAGGTTGTCGAAACGCCAGGTGTCAAGATGACCGAGCGCTTTGACTGCCACCATTGTAATGAATCTCTCTTTGGCAAGAAGTATATTTTGAGGGAGGAGAACCCCTTCTGCGTGGAGTGCTTCGAGACCCTCTACGCCAACAACTGTGAGGAGTGTAAGAAGCCCATCGGCTGTGATTGCAAGGTACCTGGCCTGGGTCTCCCCTGGGGGTCTGCATCTGGCTGAACTGAACAGGGTAACTCATTTGGGTAACTCTTCTGGATCCCTCCAGCCTCCCCAAGTACCATGGGCTTCTTTGAATGGTTTCAGCTGATGTCCTAATCCTTATCACTTCCTGAAAATTCTGTCTTTCAAGCCCCTCCGCCCCAGACGGGCGGAAACCCTTTAAGGTTGTAACGCTTTCCTGAGCCTTTCCCCTCGAGCTGATTTGCTCTCGTCCCCCTCTTAATTCTGTAGCATCGTCCCCCTCTTACTTCCGTAGCACTTGGATAGTGCCTTTTCAAGACACTTGGAGTTAGTGTCCCAGACACTTGCCTTGTAGTCTAGGTATTAGCGTTCTCCTCTAGCCACCCCACCTCTCAGCACTTAAGGGCAAGGCTCTCTTACTCAGTCCTGTCTTTGTCTTGTGGTGACTAATGTGTCACAGGTGCTGCTCAGTAAATATTTGCTGAACAAATGTGTGAGTAAGTGAATGGGAGCTGGTTTCCAGAAAATGGGCACATAAATGCGCTAAATTCCTTGGGCTCTTTTAGTGGGGGAAAACAGGATGTTTACTGGTTTGTTTTGTGTTGTTTGTCTGTTTTTAATGGGCAAAAGGCTCATGTATAAGGAATGAACAGCTCTTCTAGGATGGCCAAGTGTGGTTCCACAGAGGCCACTGGTTATTTGTGCTGGCTGACTTGTTGACTGTGTGAACCCTGGCTTATACTTCACAGCGCGTTCTTAGTCAAACCTGGATGACTGAAGAACGCCCCTGGTGTCCTTAGTATTGGCGGTTGTTGTTGTTAGGTGCCGTTGAGTTGGTTCCGACTCATGGAGACCCCACGTGCAACAGAAAGAAACACTGCCCGGTCCTGTGCCATCCTCACAGTAGTTACTGTGTTAGAGCCCATCACTGCAGCCACTGTGTCAGTCTATCTCATTGAGGGTCTTCCTCTGCTTTGCTGACCCTTTACCTTACCAAGCATGATGTCCTTCTCCAGGGACTGGTGCCTCCTGATAACATGTCAACAGTGTGTGAGACAAAGTCTCACCGTCCTCGCTTCTAAGATCTGTGATATCTTCACCTGCCAAACAGCAGCTAAAACACTTTTGACAAGCACTTTAAGTGACTGTCATCCTGAGAGCCACAGAATTACTTCTAAAATGGGGCCACTTGGGAAGCTCCAAGGCATTCCCAGGTTAGTGGATTCCAAGCCAACTCATGCATTCGAGTATCCCTTTTCTGCTGTCACTGCTTTGTATTCTCTAGGGATTTCTCCCACGCTCCTCAGTGGTTACAAGTGTCAATACATGATTGTAGACTGAATGAATGAGTTAGTCTGTGCCTGCAGTTGGGTAATCCCAATATCCAGTCCAGTTTCTTCTATTTCTTCTATCACATAGTTCCTGGGAAGGGCAACACTCAGAAGGCCGTTTCTGTTGCTAGGTATTTAGTGACAACGGAGGGGTGATTTCCATCTTGTGCAGAAAGAGGCCTTTGCTCTGAGCAGAGATGAAGGATGTGCCACACTGGTTACTTGAAACCAGGCTGCAGCAGTGTATCTTTTGGCTTGAGAACAGGAGTGGCCTGCCAAGTGTAAAAGAAATGAAACTCAACCATGGTATTGTGTAAACTTTAAAACGGTTTTAGAGGTTTGACTACATGCAACAGCAGTTAGCTGATCTTGCTTGTCTAAAAGTGAAGTATCTTCCTGTCTCCACCTTTGCCTGAAATATGTCTCATTGTCCCTAATGAGCATTCTTAATCTCTGTTTCATTTATTTAATTGGCTGAGCATATGAGCTCAGACGCCAGACTGCCTGGTTCAAATAAGCCTGTGTGTCTTTCTGCTGAACTTTTCCTCTGTGTCTTTGCCATGAACTTGGACCAGTCTCCGCATCTAGAAAGTGGAGATTAAGGGTGCCTACTTCGTGGACTATTATACGTAGATACAGAGCCCTGAGCACTCACCGTAGCAGCTGATGTTGTTATAAACTGCGGACTTCTACTTTTCTTCTGAATACTTCCCCATTCTTTCTGCAAAACGTTCCCATCACACACTTCTTCCCATAAGCCTTGCCCTCTTTATTACTTTTCATTGTGGAAACATCAGTAAAAAAATGTCTGGTTTGAGGAAGAACGAATGGACACGGAAAAGCCATAATTATTTTGTAAAGGCTTTACCTGGAAAAAAAGCCCCTGGAGGGCGCTCATGGTTAAGTGCTCACCTACAAACTGAAAAGTTGGTGGGTTGAATCTACCCACCGGCTCCTAGGAAGAAAGCTCTAGCTGTAGACTTCTGAAAAATTAGCCACTGAAAACGCTAGGAAGCACAGTGTGACTCTGACACACAAGGGGTCACCGTGAGCGGGCACTGACGTAACGGCCGCTGCCTTTTTGAAACCCAGAAAAAAATTCTCAAGTAGACGAGAGGTTCAAATATGATTCTGACAATGAACAACTCCTATTTAAAGGGAAGGTTTTGGATATTTGGGGCCACTCATTCTCGACCGGTGGCTGAAGTAAAAAACAAAACTAGAATTACTTAACATTCCTCCAGTATGATTTAGTGGAAAAGACCCTTTAAAACAAGTTGTCGGCAGATACTTGACGAGCAAGTAAACAAGAATCCCCCAAAATGGGCCAAAATCAACAAGGCTGCTGCAAAGTCAGGAGTTAATCATGGTGAACTTTTCAACCCAGTGTTTCATGGAATGGTCTATGATATGCAGGGCTGTGCCTGTGATTTTCTGCGCTTTAGAACAAAAAGAGATGTTGGGTTGAAGTTAGACTTTACTATCTAGGGTTTTTGAATATTTGAGGTGGTTCTCTTGACTTTCAAGAATAATTATGTAGTTGACTCTGGGGAGAAAGCAATACTAGAAGAAAATGTTCCTGTTATTTCAGGAAGTGAAGCGAGAGAAGTCCTGGCAGACTGGGCTCTGGGAAGAGCAGCTGAGCTGGCCAATCTGGTTCCATTCTCATTTCTTAAAATAGCACAGCCACCGTGGGCCCAGCTTAACTTTCTCCCTGAAGGTTATGTACATGGGTTCAATTTAAAAATATTGACAAGCCTGTGGGAATTGGGCTAAGTTTGAGGGTATCGACTGACTTTTAAATGAGACAGACAAGACTTCAGGACCTCTTGTTTCCGTAGTTAGCTTACATTACGTTTGAACATTGTTTCTATGAAGTCACTCAATTATACCCTTTATTTCTGTTAAATTACTGTGAGAAAATGCAGTGATCCCAAAAGGTAGAACTCATTCATTTTTTTGGCCAGCGGAATAGTTGAAAACAGGTAATACAAATAAAATTTTACGATTCTCTGATATTACACTGTTCACAAAATTTTTCTTGGACATCTGTTGATACTAGCAAAATATTTCTTTAGACTGATTACAGATGTATTATTGGATGGGTCTACCTAAATTATGGGCTTCAGAAATTTAAGAAAGTAAAGATAGGTTGGCCAGTACCTCCAGAGATGCTGTTGGTACTGTTTATTTAACAGATCAGTGACTATAACAAACTCTCGGCCACGTGTAGGATCCCCCGGGTGGTGCAAGTGGTTAAGCACTCCATTACTAACCAGGAAGTTGGAGGTTTGAGTCCACCCAGAGGCATCTCAGAAGAAAGGCCTGGTGATCTGCTTCCCAAAGGTCACAGCCTTGAAAGCTCTATGGAGCAGTTCTCCTGTAGCACCCATGGGGTTGTCATGAGTTGGAATTGATTAGATGGTAACTGGTTTGTTTTTGTTTTGTTTTGTTGGGGAGGGGGGTAGAAAATGGTGTCAGACCTCCTCTCACTTCACGAGGGGAAAAGAGAATTACCATCATCATCAGCCCAAGGCGGATTCAGTGAGGTGGAGGTCACACATGCCTCCTTCCTCCAACCTTTTCACCAATTCTGACACCAGCTGTCCCTCCCACAGCACTATGTACTTCTCTGCTGGGTTTGATAATTCATTACAGTGGCCTCACAGAACTCACAGACCATATTGTATTTTTACACAAATAATGCGTGCCTTCTACGTTTGTTTGGCAACCATGCCCTCCCCTGCGAGGTATTTTCATAAGCACTGCTATGCCAAGTTTTTTTACATGTTGCTGTTAAAAAAAAAAAAAAATTAGCATAGCACACTTAGGAAAATAGCTCACAGGAGGAGGGTGCAGTTGGCAAACAAAAATAGGGTACTCACGATTAGGGGGTTTGTTAGGGAAGTAACAGGTTACAATTCAGGATCAGAAACGACTCAGGATACAGTTCTTTGGTGAGAACAGCTTCTCAGCTGTGCCTGCAGGCAGGGCTCTCTTCTCTCGGCCCCTCGGCCTTGCCTCTGCCCTGCTCGGAGAAGTGTTACAAAGCTCTTTAGCTCTGCCAATAAATGCTCAGAGGCACCCCACTCTGCCAGTAAAGACACTCAGCTCTCAGTCCGTGAATTAGCAAGCCTTGAATTAGCAAGCCTAACTCCACCAACAAGTGCCCAGAGACAACCTACTCCACCAGCAAGCTTCCTGCCTGAAGGCACTCGACTCTCTTTCTCCATGGATCAGCTTGCCTGCTGTAGCCTCCTTGCTCTGTGGGCCAGGAAACCCACCGTGCCTTCTCATGCCAGCTGGTCGCCTGGTTCTGCTGCTGCTGTTTCTCTGCTGCTGCTTCTCACCATCTCACGCCCCCTCTTGTGTTACAGCTCTCTCTCTCTCTCTCTCTGTCTCCTGGATCTAGGAGGTTCTCAGCACAGGGACGCTGGGTCCAAAGGACGCATTCTACTCCCAGTTCTTCTTTCTTGGTGGAAGTGAGGTCTCCCCTTTCCGCCTCTGGGATGGGTCATTTTAAGTCCTGCAGGATGGCAAAACTGACCAATCCCCTCGTTAGGGTTCCATACACCTTATTTGCATGTTCCCACCTCCCACAAAAGTGCCATGCACCTTATTTGCATTATTAGCAAGCTGTCACATCCCCTGGGTGGACCACAAGCA